CACGTTGGAAACGATTATCATTTGGAGAGTTCGTGAGGTACCCAAACACCTTTTTAAAAGAATTTTCCCCATATTCCTTTGATGTTTACGTATTGTTTCATGAGAGACATGCAATTTCAGGGCCATTTTACGAGTGTGTTGCCTTCGGTTGGACTCAACAAGCGTATTCAGAGCATAAATATCAATTCCAACATGTCAGCCACTGCCATCACAGTTTTTAAAGCTAAAGTCACCTGAACGAACGTTCAAAACATTTCCATAAACTTCTTTGATATTTTGTGTGGCTACAGAGGCGTTGTTTCCCTTCTTGTATTCAAACAGCATTACCTTACCGAATGAGTGTCTCGTCGTGTGCCATCACTATAAGGGATTAAAGCATACTAAACTTTACACATTATATAGGCTACACTAACGTGACGTTAAGGCGGTTGGTTTAACTATTATACTTGATGTTTTTTAGGGGGTGCTTAATGAAAGTGTTCCAAAACGCAACGTTTATTTCTTGACGACCTAATATTTCAAATTTTGAACAGTTATTACAGTAATTAAAACGTATACCAGTTGGCTCTCATTATGGAATATTTTATGGTATGCTCTCATAGTTTGAGAATTACTTTGCATGACAGCTCATATAGTTTATGTAACAATTACTTTAAACCATACGCTCACATACCTTGTATAAAAATTGCTTTACACAGTATGCTTATAAAGTCTGAGTGAGAATTTCTTTACATGATATCCTCACACATTTTGCGTAAGTTATTTCAGACGGCATACTCACATAGACGATGCGAGAATTATTTTTACAAGGTAGCTCATATAGTTTGTGTAAAATGAACTAGTTAACCTAGTCTGTATAACAAGTACTTTATACGGTATGTTCACATAGTCTATATGAAAATGACTTTTCACGGTACGTTCACATACTCTGCGTACGAATTATTTACATGGTAGCTCACATAATCTGTGTAAGAATTACATTACGTGGTACCTAACATGGTCTTAGTAAGAATTGCTTTACATGATATGCTCAAATAGTGTAGAAAATAATTATTTTACAGGGTATGCTTATAAAGTCTGATTAAAAATGACTTTATATGATATAATCACATAGTTTATGTAAGTATACAGTCTGAAAATTACTTCGCACGACGGCTCATATAATTTGTGTAGAAATCACTTACAATAAAATCAACAAAGTCTGTGAAATAATTACTTTACATGGTATCATCACATAGTCTGAGTAAGAGTGACTTGACATGTTATGCTCACATAGTCTGAGAACTACTTTACGCGGAAGTACATATATTTATTGTAAGAATTACTTTACACGGTAGCTAATATAGCCTATATGGGTGTTACTTTGTCTAAGAAATACTCTGTCTAAGAAATACTTTAAACAGTGTGCTAACATAGTATGGGCAAGAATTACTTTATAGGGTATAATCTGAGAATTTCTTTAATATGTAGCTCACATCGTTTGTGTAAAAATTGCTTTAAACGGTAGGTAATATAATGTGAGAGAAAAATATTTTACACGATAGCACATTTAATCCGTGTAAGAATTAATTTACACGGTAGCTCACATAACTTGTCTAAAATTACCATACACGTTACGTAACATGGTCTATGTAGGAATTACTTTACATGGTATGGTTACAAAGTCTATGTAGGTTTTATTTTACATGGTAGCTTGTTTAATCTGAGAAAGAATTACTTCATACAGTACCCGACATAATCTGCGTAATAATTTATTTGCAAGGGATGCTCGCACAATCTGTGTGAAAATTACGTTACACCGTATGTTTACATAGTCTCTATAGAGATTACTTTATACGGTATGCTCATATAGTTTGCATAGGAATTACTTTACATGGCAGCTTGCTTAGTCTGTGTAAGAACTACTCTACCCAGTCTGCGTATGAATTTCTTTACACGTTATGCTCCCATAGTGAGAGTGAGAATTACGTTGCACGATATGCTCACAGAACCTGGGAAAGAATTACTTTACACACTAAGCTAACACAGTCTGAGAATTATTTTAACTGGTAACTCACTTAATCTGCGTAAAAATTACTTTACACGGTATGCTCAACTAGTCTGTGAAAGAAATATTTTACACGGTATGCTCAGATAGTCTGAGTAAGAATTACTATATACGGTATGCTTCCATAATATATGTAAGAATTAATTTACACTGTAAGCTCACAGAGTCCGTGTAAGAATAATTTTACATGCTATACTCACATAGCCTGTGTAAAAATTACTTTCACAGTGTGCTTACATGGTCTGAAAAAAAGAACTACTTTTACACGGTAGGCTAGTTAACCTTTGTGGGAATTATAATAATGGCTGGAGACGGCTTAAATGGGTAATGAAGAAAAACTTTAATATAAGTT